CTCGTAGCGAACACCACACCACCTAGCGTTATAATGCCGCACTAAATTTTGACGGTTTGACAACTTCCATTCGTCTTCATTGAATATGCTTCATTGTTTGCGTGATTGAATAATTTATTTAAGAAACTGTTTAAGTTTAAAAAAAAGTAGAATGAATTTACAAGAATAAAGCAACATAGAAGTAAGGACGAAATGAAGAAGGATAAAAGTTCGAAGTGAAATGTAATAAAGACGAATATGAAAACAATAAAGTGACATATAATTACAATAATAACAAAGCATAAAGAAGTAGGCAGAATAAGAATAAAAGCAAGATACATAGACTTTTGGCGGTAATTCCCTTCCATAATTGACACAAACTTGATGTTTTTTGAAATGGTGCTTTATCATGGTTTTTTCGCGTTTTTTCGATACCAGTAGGGCTGCCTTGCGAATGGCGGACTGCTTTTTCAACTCTTTGGAAACATTATTTGAAACGGTTGGTCCAAGACGAGTAGACTTATGCACACGATTAGATTCCCGTCCGTGATATACGTAAAATGGAGAAGCCTTTAAGGAGGAGTGATACTCCTCATTGCACAACATCGCGTATTTTGATAAATCTCGAACCTAGTTCGAATCGCTTGTTTTTAGTAGGTCGTACTTAAGCTTTGATTTCCAGGATTTATGAGACGATTCAATTTTACCTTGACTTTGCGGGTAATACGGTCGGCTGTTGATAATTTGACAACCCAATACCTCGGTCAACCGGGTAACCGCACCATGGAATTCGCGACCATTATCACATTGTATGATTTTCGGCGGTCCTTCGCTTTCATAAATGGACTCCAGCGCGTCTGCGATTTCCGTGCTTTCTTTCGAGTTGAGCGGGCGAAGCCATACGTAACGACTAAAAACGTCTAGGACCGACAAAATATACTTGTACTCTACACCAGTAGTAAGGGATACAGAGAACAGTCACTTTACAGTCAGGATGACGTCATGGGTTTTTCCAGACCCCACCCACAAAGGGGTCACATTAAGGTCAAATGAGTAACCCAAGTTGACCTTGGAACTTAGTCCGTGAGTGACCCCAAGGTATTCACCTTGAGAAAGTCTACCTTGACAAATGGAGTCACCAAGGTCACTATGGGGTCACCCACTTTGTACGAAGGTCACCTTGGGAGTCACCTTCAGAATGTTACCTTAATAATTCTGAAGTCACTAACAGTTTGAGGTCACCTGATTATTAGAACAGCCTGAGGTCACCTTTGTAAAATCTTCTTGATAAAATTGATGTCACCTTGATAATAAATTAGAACGATTCTGGGGTCACCTTCATATCATATTGAAATCACACTAATAATTGGAACTTCTGATGTAGGTCACATCTTCAAACCAAACGAAAACTATAAATTCAGCCATGGCTGAGAAATTTTTTTACAGAATCCATTGTTATTCTCTGAAGTCGAGCAAGTAAGTAAATCCTTATAAATTAAATGATTTAAAAAAAAAACATGAGTTTGACAACAAGACATAACATAAAACTAATTTCAAATTTGTTTATTTCAATTTAAAGAGAAATATAGTCCCATGAAATATCTTAATGAAAATGATTTTAAAATGAATAACTCAAGACTGAGGAGAAGAAATTATGGCATTTATAGTTTTTAAGATTTACAGTTATGAGAATACTTGAAAAGTACAGGGAGAACAACAAAAATCATTTTTATTCTAAAATATATATACAAAATCATATAAAGTCTTTAAATTATAAACAAAAAGTGACATTCCAAACTCTGTGAAATGGAAATGTTCACCACAGCAATTCTGGTAAATCTGAGATTAGACTACATAAAGATAAAACGTCATTTTTTATCATTGCATTCTTAATCTATTTTGATTATTGTACAAAAAGTTCAAAATGAAATGATTAATCTTCCTGCATACTTTTTTAAGAGTCACAATTCAGTCCTTTCACACGATGAACATTCCTGGAATTTCACAGAGTTTGGAATTCCACTCTTCGTTTACAGTTTTTATTTATATAGTCTGTTATAAAATTTATTTTACTTAACTTAAATTTACTTAAATCTCTTCCCGAAAAGCAGTCCGTCAATCCAATTTTCGATAATGTTGCTCCTCTTAAACCCATTCGTGCGACTTCGATACAAGAACGCCACCAAATTGACTTAGTCGATATGTCGCGACACACGGAATTTTATAACGGTGTAAGTAGTAAGGGATACAGAGAACAGTCACTTTACAGTCAGGATGACGTCATGGGTTTTTTCAGACCCCACCCACAAAGGTCAAATTAGAGGTCACAGTCACCTTTAAAAGTAGGTCAAGGTCATAACCTTATCTAAATCAGGTCAAGGTTATACTATCAAGGTCACAACATTGGTTAAAACACAGTCACTGACCATGAGACATGAAATCAAGATAAAGGTCACGTCCCAAAATCATAAATGAGGTCAATATCCAACACCCACCTTTTTAAAATTAGAATAAATACCTTGTAAATATCAAACTGCATTGTTATAACGATGGCAAATCAAGGAAAGCAGTACAAATGGAAAATTTTAGCCTGGAATGCTTTAAAAAGAGATGAAAAGAAATGGACCTTACAGGAAAGTCAATGGTTTGACAGAAAAGAAGATTGCATTGTTGATTTTAAAGAAAACATGAAAAATGGATATGACATTGCAGACAGCTGGGGATCTGAAGAATACATATTGAAACGTAGGGTTATGCCTAAAAAGTACTTTCCACAGACCTTTAGAGAATATAATTTGTAAGGTTCAAGTTGACACCAAAGGGTTTTCCAAACCCCGCCCACCGATGGTCATATGTATATAAATGTGTAATGCAGTAGAATAACCAAACATTATGCTTAAAGATGGCTGAAAAAATGGTAATGATGGAACTCCTTACAGGTGATTGTGGAAATGAGTGCAAAGGGATGTTAAAAGAGAAATTGAAGAAAAAAATCGCAATCGTAATTCCTAGCTTTTTTGCGATTGTACTTATCATTTCTTTGTGCGTCGCTGTCAGTGTTTTACACGAAAAGAAAAAACTTGCTTCTGTAGACTGTGAGTTACGCCCTACACTGGAAAAAGGTGTCATTAAAACATGTTCCTACGTGGATCGGTACCCCCTCTCCAACGAAGTATATGCCTTTATATGTGCCAGTGACACCATACAGGTTGACATACGACGATTTCAGTCTGGAAAACCGGGGAATGAAGGAATTACTTTGAGTAAAACACAGTGGCAGTACCTAAAAGCATCCGTAGATCACATGGATGGGTCTATTTTAAAAGCACAAACTCATATATAAAGTGTTGCAGGAATAACATGTAGAATTGTCAAAGAAGAGAGAGTATGGACAAGACTGTGAAATTTTTAGACAAAAAAACGGTCATCCTTATTCCTTATGAAGATCGGAAGGGGGAATGGATGACCATGGCCTTGGACAGATATCGATTTAAAAGAAGAATAAATCATGCATAAAAATTTTAAGTCCTATTCTGGAAAAACATTTAGAAAAAATAATTCAATCTCATGCACAAAACTTAAACGCCCATAAAGATCTGTAATGCCGAATTCTACAGTCAGTGCGTTCTACAGTCATCAAATTTCTACAGTCAGTCTACAGTCAATGACGTCATTAGGGAAATCTACAGTCATTTGGGAGTCTACAGTCACTGACGTAATGGCGGAGTCTACAATCAAGGGCGAGTCTACAGTCACGAATCACGTGACTTAAATAATATATAAACTTTGTACATTTTAAAAATTTTCATCAGTCTTGAACAACTCTCAGATAGTTCCTTGTGAAAAACTTGTAAAATGGAGCAAAAACACTAAGACGTGATAAAGACAAACTACTCGACTTTGGTGAAGAAGATGATGGCTGTTCCTGTTGCAGGGCATCTTTATGCCTCAAACATAATAACTGATGAAATGAGACAACAGATAGACGCTGAGAAAACCAGCTATGAAAAAAACAGGAAATTGATCAGCATCATTTTACGTCGAGGTTCCAGAGCTTTTATGGGTCTGAGAACGGCATTAATGAAAGCTAATCAAGCTGACTTATCCCGACTCCTGATGAATAAGGATGATGACACAAAGTCTGAGTACGAAAAGAAGCTGGCCATGGCAAGGTCATTTGTCGTCAGTACTAAAGAAAGGGGAGGCTCCAGAAACGAATCAAAGAAATCTGATCATCAACAGCCTCAGGGACCAAGATGTAGGATAAGTCTGGAAAACTCAAATGACCTTTTCCTCACCGTCATGCCTTACAAGGGGGAGATATACGTTCATATCCGTCACCTCGTAGAATCGCATGGCCGTTCCATTGCCACTAAGAAGGGAGTTACCTTTCCTTTAGCCCGTTGGTTAAAGTTTGAATCTCTTTTACCAGATATTCAAGACTACTTAGATAGTACTGGTAAAGAAGACGAAGAAGCACAGTGGCATGTTGGTGGAGGAGTGTTCGTTTCATTATCACCAGGCTATCCGACAGTGGACATAAGACACTTCTGGAAGCCAGACAATGTTCTAGAACCCATACCTACGAGGAAAGGTGTTACTCTGAACAAAAACAAATTTGTCAGACTTAGAGATGTCATTGAGGAGATGCATGAATATGCTCCAGAATTAAAAGACATTGAACTTTGCATGCTCAGTGAGTCTCATCAAAATCAACTTGGAATGTTAAGCTGCCCCGAATGTACCCCCTTTGGCTACGATCCGCAAGACAACATGTCAGTGGAATGCAACACAGGGGATTTACCAGACATAGAAACTATGGAGTGTGTTCTTGAATGACAAAAATCACTAATCCAAAGTAATTAATGATATGAATGTGACATTATATATTAGATATTATTTATTGTGTATCAAATTTTTATGTAATGATTTCATTCTAACAATATAAAAATAAAATGATTCAATACCTATGATGTATATTTTATGTTACTGTCGAAGAGAAATCGTTAGTAAGTTCCAGTATGTCAGATTACACGGATTACTTAAGGCAGCTCTACTACACTCCCGGTAAACCGGGGGCATATGCAGGCCCTGAGAAATTATATCAGGCTGTTAAAAAGGAAGGCAAATACAAAATTGGTAGACGGAGGATAAGACAGTTTTTAAACAATGAAGATTCTTATAGTCTGTATAAACCTATTCGCAAAACATTTCCACGTTCAAAGGTGATAGTGAACACAATTGATTCTATGTGGGATGGTGACTTGGCAGACGTCTCAAACATTGCATCCCATAATGACGGTTATAAATTCTTATTAGTGCTTATCGACATATTTAGCCGATATTTATTTATAATCCCCTTAAAAAGTAAACATCATCAAAACATGGTTGACGGTTTAAAATCAGTTTTTCAAAAAGGACGAAAACCGAACACCCTTAGAACAGATAAGGGTAGTGAATTCAAAAATCGTTGGGTAAAGACATTTCTGAAAAAAGAGGATATAAACGTTATGTACACTCAAAATGAAACAAAGACAAACTATGCCGAGAGGGTTATTCGTACCATGAAGAACCTAATGTATCGCTATTTCATGAAGAACCGAACATATCGCTTTGTGAATGTCTTGCAAGACCTAGTGAAAAGTTACAACGAAAGACCTCACAGATCATTAGGGGGGAATGCTCCAGCAAATGTAAACCAGCAAAATGCCGATGAAATTAGACTCGCGGCTTATCTGTCAGGGAAAACAAAACCAGCACTGGCAAAAAAGGATCCGAATCAGCCTAAGGACTCGGGCAAAAGAAAAGTGCAAAAACGAGTGAAACCCTTTTTCAAATTAAAAATTGGAGATAATGTCAGAATATCACAACTAAAACACCCATTCCAAAGAGATTACCAGCAAAAATGGTCAGAAGAGTTTTTTAAAGTGAGTAAAAGGTACAAAAGAGGTCAAGTACCTGTGTACAAAGTAAAAGATTTGACAGACGACCTTATAGAAGTTACTTTCTACGAGTCTGAGCTTCAAAAAGTCGTAAAGTCGGAAGATGGTTCTTACAGAGTGGAAAAAATACTTAGAAGAAGACGTCGTGGTACAACCAAGGAAGTATATGTAAAATGGGAAGGATGGCCAAAGAAATTTAATTCATGGATTCCGGAAAGTTCTCTCGAAAAACAATAAAAGCGGCCATTTTCTGCCAATTCTCTCTATTCAAGATGAGTGTCCGAATGGTATTGACGTCCACGGACAGCTCTGAATATTTTGAAAATAAACCCCATTGCTTCCGAGTTCAATTAAATAAACAGATTCAATTTGACGGATATTGGACTGTTGCCCTGACAGAATTTTCTACAGAGAGCTGGATTTTATCTAAGAAGAAATCAGAATTGTTTGTGTGTTGCGATATTTGTGAGGAAACAATTATTGGGGGAAAAGAGGCACCCCTCCTAAGACGCATATACCTGGGAGAGAAACCAGAAAATATCACCTACAACCTACCTTATTATATTCCGGTTAAAATTGGCCAATTACAGCAGATTGCTATATATATAACGGACAGAGAAGGAAATTTAGTTTCATTTTTAAACGGACCGGTGACCGTAACACTTCATTTCAAGAAGATTCCTTACGTTTTATAATGAATAGTCAGACTTATGTCAGCGATCCCCGAATATGGGAAGCTTTCTACAAGAACATGGCGGAGAAAAAATTCAACCCTTACAAATACAAACCAAAACAAATTGGGAGAGGTGTGAGAAGTTACAAGTCTTACGTCATACCACTGAAAAATCACTTACAGTTAGAATCGGTAGAAAACGGCACTCAAGTGACTCCAGTAGCTGTGGTGGAGGAAAGAGCTAAAGTGGAACATGCCAAGGATGTAAAAGAGGGTGGACCATTTGTCAAAGTGAAGGGAAGTATAAAAAGGCCATGTTCGCAATCTTCTGTCATTCCTTTAAAGAAATTGAAGCCAGCAACATCTCAAACTCCGAGGAGAAAACAGGCATCTAAACCCACAAAACAAAGAAAGACCTTCGGAGAAAAAAAGAAGAAGAAGACGTCTGTTAAGAAACAGCGACAAGTGCCAAGCAAAAAAACACAGTCTAGAAAAAAGAAAGAACTTAATATTGACAGCTACAGGAATATCTTTAAGCTGTAAAAATGGCATTTTTAAGCAGTGATAATAAAGACATAGCTCAACCAATGGAACTATCTCTCTTTGCATCCCCCACAAACCAAGTAGCGGTCGAGAAAGTGTTTTTTACAGAAGCAAGACCAATTTCTAGCATAGGAGTGTCTGACACACCCATCGAGATCGTAGTATCAGGCTCAGGAGCAGAATACATTGATTTAAAAAGAAGTAAACTATTCGTAAAAGCCCGAATTTTGAAAGCAGATGGATCACCATTGGCAGCAAACGAAGAAACTGGTGTAGTGAACTTACTTCTACAAAGCATGTTCTCCCAAATGGATGTCTACTTGAACAACAAGTTGGTCTCTTTCAATACCAATAACTATCCGTGGAAGGCTTACCTCAAAACAATTTTGTTCAGTGGGAAAGACGAACTCAATTCACAAAAACAATCTGAACTGTTCTTTAAAGACGAGGGAAATCTTGGCGACTCAAATGCATACAATGGAGGTAATGCCGGTCTGATCCTGCGGTATGGTTACACTCATGAAAGTAGAGTCTTTGAGCTGGAAGGGAACCTGATGGAAGATATTTTTGATATAGATAAATACTTGATTAACGGAGTAGACATCTACATCAAACTCTTTAGATCCAGTGCACCTTTTGTCATCATGTCTGCCACTTCTGCACCTGCCTACAAGTTAGAATTACTAGACGTCGTGTACAAAGTGGCCAAAGTGCGGGTAGATCCTGGTGTTTTGCTGAACCACAGTAAACAGATTGAATCCACCCCTGTAAAGTATACCTTATCCAGAAATGAACTAAAAATGAATACCATACCAAAAGGATCTACAGAGTTTTACTGGGACAATATATTTCCTCAGGCAATACCCGATCGCATTGTGGTGGCTCTGGTGGACCAGAAAGCTGTGAATGGGGATTACACAGCCAACCCCTTTAATTTTGAGCACATGGAATTAACAGATATTGGGATATACGTCAACGGAGAAAGCGTACCTGGAAGACCACTGAAGACGGACTTTACGGCTGGACATTATTCAGCAGCCTATGCTCGTTTATTTGAAGCCTCTGGGAAATGGAACAATGATGCTGGACTGATTATCTCTCGTGATAATTTTGGAAATGGATACTCACTTTTTGTGTTTACGATAGATCCTTGTGGATTTGGAGAAGAGTATTTAAACCTGATTCGTAGGGGAAACACTAGACTTGAATTGAAATTCAAACAAGCAACAACCAAAGCCGCCAATGTCATTGTATTTGCAACTTTTTCATCCCTACTTGAGGTTGACAAATCACGTGACATTAACTACATTCAACCATGAATTCCACACATCTGTTAAATATGGTGAAGAAACATCCTTGCCTAAGACGTTATGTAAAAGGTGTATTTGCTAGTAATACATTACCTCAAATGGTTACAGAATTTCCAAGCGCCTTTATCGTCAATACACAACCTTTGCCATTACCCGGAGAACACTGGGTGACAATAATCGTGTACAGTCCATTGCAAGCAGAGTTCTTCGACAGCCTTGGAAAATCCCTAGCTGAATACAGTCAAGATATACAAAACTTTGTGAAAACGAACAGTGTAGATTGTCGTTTCAAATCCGTTCGACTTCAACCTCGTAATTCCGATTTATGTGGACTTTATGTATTAGTATTTCTAATTGCAAGATTGTGTTTAAAAAACTCGTTCAATCATGTGTATGATTTATTTTCTAATGACATTCAATCTAATGATGGTTTTGTAAAAAGTTTTATGTATGAATATTTTATGTATCATTAAAAATCATGACAAGTATATACGGGAGTTATATTATAATTGAATAAATATTTATATGTATGTGACATTGCACCTAACTTCATTTAGAAACAGTCTGGCGACTGAGAAACATGGAAACAGAGAGTATAAATAAATGGTGGAACAATCGTTCCTTGCTACCTTTTTCTGCACCTACCACCATTTTAATATGTGGTAGTACACAAAGCGGAAAAACGCATTTTACTAAAAAACTTTTACAAAACGCTAATGGTATGTTTTCCATACCTGTTGATAGAATAGTGTATGCTTATTCTGAACATCAACCAATGTTTGAGGAAATGGTGCAGACGATACCAAACTTATCATTACACCAAGGATTACCTTCTAAAGACAACATAGAACAGTACACAGAGGGCATGGATCACACTGTACTGGTACTGGATGATCTAATGTTACAAGTTGCACAATCTCGGGACTGTGTACATCTGTTCACGGTGACATCTCATCATAGAAACGTGACCACTGTAATGTTATCCCAGAACCTGTATCCTCCGGGAAAGTATGCCAGAACCATATCTCTGAATTGTCTTAATGTCATTTTATTTAAGAATTATCGCGATTCTCGACAGATCATCACTTTTGGATCTCAGATATTACCCGGACAGGTCCCCTTTTTCAAAGCGGCATACGAATCCGCAACTCGACCAAATTTCGGTTACTTGCATGTTTGTTTAGAACCAACACAAAACAGAGAGTATCAACTAAGGTCTCGTATCCTCCCGGGTGAGGAGATGATCATTTACCAACCTATATAAATAAGAACGATTTCGTTTTCTCCACTCATTATTTGAACATGAAGCAAACGGTGAAGAAACACGAGGCGTTTTTAAAATTTCTCTTGTATGCTGACAGTGTACAGCAAAAAGCACTCGTTAAAGCCTTGACCAGTGAACAGTATGATGTGCTTAATGAAATAGCACTTAACATTTATACGGGGACTTATCCTTTACCTAAAAAGTATATAAAACAACTGAAACCTTACGAATCATACATTCGATCTCTGGGATCTAGAGAAATCAGCAACCGGGAGAAAAGTCGGATATTACTCAAACATATTTCTTTAGTATCGCTTTTAATTAAACCTATTGTGCAACAATTCAAAGGAAAATGGCGAGGGAAATGATACTTGTGCCGAAACTGAAATATGAACATCTACTTCAAAAACTGGACCATACCAAGGATAGCTCTACTCAAGCTATTTCAGAAACCGCCCAAACCTCGAAGCAAACCCCTGAAGATCGAGGCCAGAATGTCGCTGACCAAGTGGATGATACCAATCTGTTACAAACTGGTACTGGTTATGTCAGTAGGAAAAAAGTCGGAAGACCTCCTGGAATCACTAATGTTCGACGGAAGAAAAAACACATTCCCTGGTTAACCTATTGACAATGTTATAACAGTGAACAAAAGTTTAATGTTTATCATTTATTTGTGAATGTCATTCAATAAAAAATAACATAAAAAACTGGCTTTTTTTAATAACACAATTAAAATCCAAAGGGCAACGTGTCTAAATTAGGAAGAATTTTCCTTTTGGTGTACACCATTTTATAATTTTTAGTTTCTACTCTGTTTAGCAATTTTCTCTTTCTACTGTCTCTCGATATTTTACAGGGGTTGACAATTTCGATTTGTCGGTCGTGTGAGGTGCAGATAATTGACTTAATGGCATCAAAATTGATCAGTTTCGAGTTGACCCAGTTTAGTGTAAATCCCCTGACTTTACATTCTTCTTTCCCCGACAGCGTACGATAAGCATAATTCTTAGGACCCCCTGACACAAATTCTACAATGTGTCCATCTGGTGGGGAAATCTCGTTTGTTAACTCTCCCAAGTAATTACCAATGGGCAGATAACTCAAGTCGTCCGACTTTTTAGCTTTAAAGATGACACTGTCTGTATCAAAATACAACACATTCTCGTTTAATTTGTCGAGAACACTGTATAGTTTCAGTCGAGCCCACATGGTGGTAAAAGAGGCTAAAAATATATTGGTTTTGTTATCGAATTGAGTAAACAAAGGGTTGTTACTCCATTCTAAATGAAGCATGTCTCTTGAAACAATGTAAAAATTGTGTGGTACTTTTGTTGGATCTGAAAGCATCTGAAAAAATTTTTCGGCTTCTGACTCGTGAATGAACAAGGATTGTTGCATGCCTAACCTCTGACCAAATTTACCCCAAAAACTATTTAAACAGAGT